AAAACTTAAACAAACTTGAACACTGAAAATTTGAAAATCCAGAAATTGAGAAATCGGAAAGATCAAAAATTTAAAAGGCGAAAAATTAAAAAATCCATTAATCGAGAAATTGAGAAATCGAAAAATCCACAAATTTAGAAATCCCAAAAATTGAAAAATTGAAAAACCGAAAAATTTAAATACTTAAAGCCCAAAACTGAAACGTTGAAAAATGGGAACATCGAAAAGATGAATTATCGATAAACTGAGAAATAGAGAAATCGAGATGGAAAAATCCAAAAATTGTGAAATCGAAACATTTAAAAAGATCGATAAGTCGAGAAGTCAAAAAATCGATAAAAATTGAAATATCGAAATAGCTACAGATAGAAAAATGGAAAAATCGAAATATTGAAAAACTGAACAATTAAATAATTCCGAAAAATAGAAAAATCGAAAAATGATAGAGCAAAAAATCTAAGAATTGAGAAGCGAAACAACCGAAAAGTGAAAAATCTAAGATTTAAAAATTCGATAAAATGAAAATTTAAAAAATCGAGAAATTAAAAAATTGAAAAATCAAAAATGTAAAATTTAAAAAAATCGCAGAAAGGCGAAAAATGCAAAAATTTTAAAATCTAAATACATATTGAAAAATACTTAAAAACTTAAAAACTTAAACAAACTTAAACACTGAAAATTTGAAAATCCAGAAATTGAGAAATCGGAAAGACCAAAAATTTAAATGGAGAAAAATTAAAAAATCCATTAATCGAGAAATTGAGAAATTGAAAAATCCTTAAATTTAGAATTGCCAAATTTGAAAAATTGAAAAACCGAAAAATTTAAATACCTAAATCCCAAAACTGAAACGTTAAAAAATTGGAAAATCGAAAAATTGTGGAATCGAAAGGTCAAAAGATCGAGAAGTCGAAAAATAGAAAAATTGAGAAATGGAAACAAAAAAAGAGAAAAATCTAAAATTTAAAAATCCGAAAAAGTGAAAATTTTAAAAATCGAGTAATCAAAACATCAACAAATCGAAAAGCTTATGATTAAACAATTCGCAATATTTTGAAAAATCGAATAAGTAAAAAATGAAAAACACGAAAATTCGAAAAATCGAAAAATTTGTAAGTCGAAGTGTTTAAAAGTCCCAAAATTGAAACATTGAAACATTGGAAAATCGAAAAATCAAAAAGATGAATAATCGATAAACTGAGAAATCGAGAAATCGAAATCGAAACATCGAAAAATCGCGAAATCGAAACATTAAAATATCGATAAGTCGACAAGGCAAAAAATCGAAAAATTGAAATATCGAAATAGCTACACATCGAAAAATGGAAAAATCGAAATATCGAAAACTGAAAAATTAATTCCGAAAAATTGAAAAATCGAAAAATGAGAGGGTAAAAAATTGAAAGACTGAGAAATCGAAATAACCGAAAAGTGAAAAATCTAAAATCTAAAAATTCGAAAAATTGAAAATTTACAAAATCGAGAAATCAAAAAATTGAAAAATCAAAAATGTAAGATTTAAAAAATCGCAAAAATCGCAGAAAGGCGAAAAATACAAAAATTTAAAAATCTAAAAACATATTGAAAAATACCAAAACTTAAACACTGAAAATTTGAAAATCCAGAAATTGAGAATTCGGAGAGATTAAAAATTTAAAAGGTGAAAAATTAAAAAATCTATTAATCGAGAAATTGAGAAATCCAAACATACACAAATTTAGAAATGCTAAAAATTGAAAAATCGAAAAATTTAAATACTTAAATCCCAAAACTGAAACGTTGAAAAATTGAAAAATCGAAAAGATGAATTATCGATAACTGAGAAATCGAGATGGAAAAATCGAAAAATTGTGAAATCGAAAGGTCAAAAGGTCGAGAGGTCGAAAAATCTAAAAATTGAGAAATGGAAACAAAAAAAGTGAATAATCTAAAATTTAAAAATCCAAAAAAGTGAAAATTTTAAAAATCGAGTAATTAAAACATTAACAAATCCAAAAGTGTAAAATTCACAATATTTTGAAAAATCGAAAAAATTCAAAAACACGAAAAGTCGAAAAATCGAAAAATTTGTAAGTCGAAATATTTAAAAGTCCCAAAAATGAAATGTTGAAAAATTGGAAAATCGAGAAATCGAAAGGATGAATTATTATCGATAAACTAAGAAATCGAGAAATCGAACTGGAAACATCGAAAAATCGCGAAATCGAAACATTAAAAGAAAAGAAAAATTTAAATACTTAAATCCCAAAACTGAAACGTTAAAATATTGGAAAATCGAAAAGATGAATTATCGATAAACTGAGAAATCGAGATGAAAATATCGAAAAATTGAGAAATGGAAACAAAAAGTGAAAAATCTAAAATTTAAAAATCCGAAAAAGTGGAAATTTTAAAACTCGAGTAATCAAAACATCAACAAATCGAAAAATGAAAGATTAAATAATTCGCAATACTTTGAAAAATAGAATAAGTAAAAAATGAAAAACACGAAAAGTCGAAAAATCGAAGAATTTGTAAGTCGAACTATTTAAAATTCCCAAAATTGAAATGTTGAAAAATTTTAAAAAATCGAAAAGATGAATTATCGATAAACTGAAAAATCGCGAAAAAGCAATGGAAAAACCGAAAAAAGGCGAAATCGAAACGTCAAAAGATCGAAAAGTCGAAAAATCTAAAATTTAAAATTTCGAAAAAGTGAAAATTTAAAAGATCGAGCAATCAAAACATCAATAAACCGAAAAATGAAAGATTAAATAACTCGCAATATTTTAAAAAATCGAGTAAGTAAAAAATCAAAAACACGAAAATTCGAAAAAATCGAAAATCTAAGAAATCGAGAAATCGAAATCGAAAAATTGGAAAAACACGAAATTGAAATATCGAAAGATCCATAAGTCGAGATCTCGAAAAATCGAAATAGCTAAAAATCGAAATAGCTAAAAATCGAAAAATGGGAAAATTCAAAATTGAAAAATTCAAACTTAAAAAACCCGATAAATTGAGAAATGGAAACAACAAAAAAGTGAAAACTCTAAAATCTAAAAATCCGAAAAAGCGAAAATTTTAAAAATCGAGTAATCAAAACATCAACAAATCGAAAAATGAAAGATTAAAATAATTCGCAATATTTTGAAAAATCGAATAAATAAAAAATGAAAAACACGTAAAGTCGAAAAATCGAAGTATTTAAAAGTCCCAAAATTGAAATGTTGAAAAATTTAAAAAAATGGAAAAATCGGAAAGATGAATTATCGATAAACCGAAAAATCGCGAAAAAGTAATGGAAAAACCGAAAAATCGCGAAATCGAAACGTCAAAAATCGAGAAGTCGAAATATCAAAAAATTGAGAAATGGAAACAACAAAAAAGTGAAAAATTTAAAATTTAAAAATTCGAAAAAGTAAAAATTTAAAAGATCGAGGAATCAAAACATCAACAAATCGAAAAATGAAGTATTAAATAATTAAAATTTAGAAGTTGAAGTATTTAAAAGTCCCAAAATTGAATAGATAAAAGATAAATAGAAAATAATTTTTATATATTTCATTCCGAGGTTTCGTCTTGTTTTATTTTAACTAAGTCAGATTGACTAAAAATCATCACTTTCCATTTAAAATCTACCCATAATGAATTGAAATATGTATTCACTTTTGTTAAAAAATAATGGTTTGTACGAATGTGGCAGTTCCTCATTAATTCACTTTTATATTAAGAAAAGTACTTTCTGTGTTGAACATATTTCATTCTGATTCAAATTGATGCATGACGTCATAAAAAAAAATGTTGTTAAAAAAACTAAATATACGTACAGCATGTACCTGTCTTTAAAAGTTCAAACACTTATAGGGGCTGTCATAAAATAAATACAGAAAATCAAATTTTATAATTCTTCGAAAAACCTTGATACGAGTATGTTGTATTTCAGGGGCGACGGAATTTCGTTGTATTACTTTAGGCTTTAGAGCAATTTTTTCTTTACGGATCCAAAAGTAGATCTAAGCTGTTATATAGTATTTTTGAAAAAATATGTTTCCTACTTAATTTTATTATGAAATGATTACATTGCATGTATGAATTTATAAATAACGTGTATTCTTCGAAATCGATCCATACTCAAGTTCATGTCAAATTTGATAATAATCACTGTCAACGGCATGATGTTAAAATTCGTTTAATTGAATTGACATTTCATGGCTCATATTACAGTTTAATTATGAATATATGTCTGTGGGGCAGTTTTAGATGTTAGATGATCAAAGATAGCCACAGATCTTTCAAACTTTGTCTTCGATTTTGCATTTTCACCTCAGATTTTCAAATTAACGGTAATCTGATAAGACGAAAATTTTATCAAAGAAATCTACAAAAAATCATGGTTGTCTTTAATTGTGTTTTTTTATTGCTCTTTTGGTATAACCGTTGAATCTTGAGGTATCAACAATCGTTAAACCCAGATTCTTGACATTAGACACAAGCTTAGTATTGTTTATCGGAAATTTGATTTGATCTTTTTAGTTATCTTTAAATTTTCTGCTGCAGAAACTAAGTGCTTTATATTTATGAACGAAATGACAAACAGGGTAAGTCATGGTTAACTATGCTACATACATTTTTAACATTTCTCGGATTAAAGCATAAAAAAACCGAAGAGGCTCCAACATTGGTCCTTGAGGTACATCGAAGGTAATTATACCAATACTTGAGAAAACATTATTAATAGCTGCGGTCTTAGTGGAAACAGTTTTGCGGTGTATACTGTGTTTTTACTGATTTATAAAAATTTTTAGATATATACCGAAACATTTGGAAGATAAAGCAGCATCAACACCCTATAGCAGTACATTTTATCTCATTTGGATTTGTGAGCATAAATTTTAAGAATACGGACCTACACCGCGAAGCAGGAAAGGATTTAAGTTTTACTGTCAAACCTTCAACTAGCCCTCGGAGAGTGATACAGTTGTGAATAAAACATTGTAAAAAGTACAACCAATTCTCACCATACTGATTCCGGATAATGTCTGGATCAGTGGCCTCAACGGAAGTGCCGTTCCTCACAGCTTCGGCGGTAATGGCCGCATCGGGAGTCGCTGGTGTGCGTACGCCCGTGACGGAGCCGTCGACGATGAGATCATCTGCGGCAATAACCGCTTCCATAGGTACGTGCTTGGTGCCCCCTTCGGGTCTGGGACATGGCCTGGAATAGTGCCTTCTACACAGAGCAGCCAGCACGAGGCAGACCCCCGTCGCCAGCACAGCGGCCGTGCCCAGAAGGCCCATAATTAGCGGGCTAACTGGCATACTTGCTGTTGAACCTGAAAGTTAAATTCACTTCGGTGAAAAACGGGGATTTATGCTGGCGTAAATTTTAATTTATTTGCACCCCTCGGATGAAGTCCATTTGTTATTGTTTAAGTATGTGTTTCCGTTGGAAAACAGGATGGAGCGTGTTTTGCCGACGAAATTGCTATCATACATAAAGCCGAAAATTTCATCAAAGCAAGAATGTGAATCTGTGGAGGTGACATGTTGTAACTTATTGTAATAACAATTGGAGAAAAGGAGTCCTTAAGGAATTTTAGGCTACACGGTTTAATTATCCTAGGCATAATTAAATTACATATTTTAAGATTATCTACGAAGCAGAGTATAGAGTGCTCCTAAGAGTTACTTTCCCTTTTAGTTTTTAAACAATTTAAAATGAACAAACACATTGTGCATGGCAAACTCCACTTTACGTGTTTGATTTAGACATAGAAACAAGGCGGTCAGAGTAGGCCATGACTTGTAAAATCACTTTAAGACAGACATCAATTTAATAAATTGGTCTAAGGTTACTCAATCCCGCTTCTTTAAAAATGAAGAAAACAAGCATAATATTATGCGTATGTTTTAAGTGAGTTCTCTATTACTACGTCATCAACATTTTAACAAGGACACTTATGTCAATTTGACTAGGTGCAGTGTAATGCTAACAGTATTATATTCTCAAATTTTCGGGAAAATAGGATGAACCGTTGTTGATTTGATCAATAAAAAAAAGCTGAGGACCGGCGTCTGTCGGAGGATCTCTCATCTGCGAAATATATAAAGTAAATCGGTTGTTAACTCTCAGACTACAAGTATCAATCAAAAGGGAAATAAAGTAACATTTGAAAACCATTCGAAAGGTAGTATTGTTCTTTTTCCGAATAAAATGAATTTTTCACGCATAGTAAAAACTGAAGGAGCATTAAATTAGTCGACTCAGTGCCTCTTCATCGTATCTAAATTTATTTATTTAATATTTTCTACAGAGTGCCGCTTCCAAGTTTGAACACAACATGGGGAATTGGTTTTTATTTTATAATATCTCTCTAAATCACTTTAAGTTGAGCTATTATTGAGTGATGTATTTGTGCAGGTAGCGGAGGACTATTGGTCAGTATTTTTTTCAAATCGTAAAAAAGGTTTCAGAAGTTGTATTTTGGAAATCGAAATGTCAAAGTGAATTTAGAAAATATTCATCAATTCTTACTCAAAAATCACTGAACAATTCATTAATAGCTATTTATCCAGTATGATGATTACTGTGGAACAAATTAAACGAAATAAATGCACAAATTCATTCACTTATTGGTGCTGCTGGGTGCAGCAGATAAATCTCCTTATGAAAATTCTGGTAGTAATGCGAGACCCCGTCACATGAGCCAACTGCGAGTACACCCAGACCGTATGCAAAAAGCCCGAGACGAAGCCCTTCGAGCAGCTTGTCTTCCTCAATACATCCTGAGGTCCCATGAAGATAGGGATTTATTTACTGGCACCACTTCACTAAGAAATCATTCAAAAGTCCAAATTGAATTATTTTATCCATCACACTGGATAAAATAATTTGATTTGACTCAAAACTACAAGAAAACGCTTCAAAAGTGACGTTCCTGAAGAATTTTAACAATTTTATTGTATCTACGAACGCCAGAATGCATAAAATTAATTCAAACGTCTGCCTTTCGTAATTTGAGACGATTTTGCATCCTCTAAGTGTGTTTCGCCGCTCAGAATCATAAAAAAATGTTAAAATGTAGTTCAGATTTAATAAAAATCCACAAAAATACGATTTCTAGGTAAAATTTAATGGTTTCGTTGCTCTTTCCGAGACCATAGGGTTTCTGATTGGCTTAAAACTACAAGAAAACACTTCAAAAGTGACGTTTCTGAAGAATTTTAACAATTTTCTTGTATCTACGAACGCCAGAATGCATAAAACTAACCCAAACGTCTCCTTTTCCTAATCTGAGACGATTCTGCATGCTCTAAGTGTGTTTCGTCGCTCAAAATCATCAAAAAATGTTGAAATATAGTTCAGATTTAATTAAAATCGACAAAAATACGATTTCTAGCAAAAATTTGATGATTTCGTTGCCCTTTCCGAGCCCGTAGGGTTTCTGATTGGCTTAAAACTACAAGAAAACGCTTCAAAAGTGACGTTTCTGAAGAATTTTAACAATTTTCTTGTATCTACGAACGCCAGAATGCATAAAACTAACCCAAACGTCTCCTTTTCGTAATTTGAGACGATTCTGCATGCTTTAAGTGATTTTGGTCGCTCAGAATCATCAAAAAATGTTGTATGTAGGTGCATTTTACAACATTGTCATGAAAATTATTGCTTACTGATTAAATTAACCATTGAGGAGCAAGTAGACTCTCGCTTTTTTAATTAATCGCAGTAGATTCACTAAAATCTACCGGTACTAGCAACGTAACCTCATACAAAATTTTGTGCAATTTGTGCATGTATTCCGCTTAATTTGTCCTACAATAATCATCACCCTGGATAAAGTAATTCAATTTAAGTTGTTCCGTGATTTCTGAGTGAAGTACCACAGTAAATCGCTAGCTTGCCCCCCCAGACGTGTCGATAATGCTGGTGATGGAAGTGCTGAAGAAGACGAGCTGTTCGAAGGGCTTCATCTCGGGCTTCTTGAGTACGACCTGGGTGTAGTCGGAAATGAACGTCTTTTTTTAGTCAAAATCAAGGATTTTACTGCAGTTTAACATTAAATTTCATTTATATACTAACTGTCGTTCAAAAAATAAAACCACATCACCACGTGTGACTTTTGAGTCACTGTATAAAGTAGCGATACGCTCAAGTAGATTAAAAAAATATATTGTTTTATATATGTTACATAATACAGGGTTAGTCACGAGAGAATTACTTCTGAAAATTATTTTTACGCAACCCAAAATACTAATACCCTGTACCACTTGATATTATCTAAATTTAAAATGAAATGCCTAATCCATGATTGCTTTGACTTTGGCAGTGTCACTTTGACGTTAATTAATTTTTAACATTTTTTTTCATCGTTGACTCGCCTCTAGAGCCCCGTTGGATCGACGACATACAGTCAGATCAATCTGGGCTATACTGAAGCCGTAAGTGCTCTACCAATGTTGTTCGCCGCTAATGTGCATGTGTTAATTCGCCATCTCTGCGTCACCTAGAGCCTCTTCGAAGTGCAAATCTGCAACCTGTGGACTTCTTCGGCCATCCATTTACAAAAAAGCCGTAGCATCCCCCCAAAATGCCCAACATTTTCAACAGATTAGTAGTTAAATTATTTACTTACTTGTTTGAGTTTGTGTTGTAACCTTTGAATAAAATGCCGTAAAAGGAATTTTTAGAAATAATTTTCTCGTGATTAATCGGTTGCAAAAGATCAAGAGGCACACTGACAAATTTATTAGCGGCGCCGGAGGAGATTTCGGACTGGCGCGGTACCACCATGGACACTCGCGTAACCTCCTTTTCCACAATTGTCAAAATGAGATTGCCAAACTCAAAGCAATCATGGATTAAGCATTTCATTTTAAATTCGGTTAGTATCAAATGGTACATGGTATTCGTATTTTGAGTTGCGTAAAAATAATTTTCAGAAGTAATTCTCTCGTGACTAACCCTGTATACATCAGAGATATGTAAAAGACTAGATACAGATATTTAATGTTCTCGTGGACATACGTTTAGGCCCAAGATGTCAGTGTACGTTTATATCTCCCTCTTTTTCTCTAGCACGTACAATGGTAACCCGATATCTGAAGGTCTCGCTCTGTACGGCGCAACCAATCAGTTGGCGCAACGTTTGTCGTTGATGCCGTTCTTGTGTTTGTGCCGGTCCCTGTCAGACCAATCAGACTGTGGGTGGTTATAATTATTTATAATTGCCGCTATCAGAACGGGCCAATAACAAGACAACCACCTTTTAGAGAGTGATGGATGTAGCCTACACTTGGCAATCCATAGTACTGGTGCTGATATAGAAAAGGATAGGCGACACAAAGTATTGCTACTCTTAGATCATAGATGTTGGCCCTAGATCGGGAAAGCTATAACCGCATCTGTCTTTTACATATCTCTGGTATACATACTGTAAAAACCATTTTCAAATAAATTTACCTAATTCTTATTAGACGATAGCCAGTTTGATAATAAATTTCTTTAATTGAAAGAAAAAGTAATTTTGTATCTTGGACCTTGACCCTGTCACTGAACGTGGATATGTAAGTTGTGAATGAATGTTCCCAAATGTTTGGTATTTACCGCTTTTCTAGCGAACCTTTCCGTTGTAACAGCTTTATTTCGCTGAGCGCCATTGTCGAGGTGGTGGGAGTGTTCTGTGAATGTGTTCTTGGCAATAAAGCTGTGTTAAGGAATTGTGGACTGACGTGTAAAGCTAAATGTAACGTTAAAGATTACGATGCATAAAATTAAAATAAAGTACGCAAGTCCACAATATCGAATTATCTACAAAATTTAAAATGTATCGACCACGTTCAGTGTCACAGAATATAAAAAAAAACGTGTCGGTTAATGTTTAATTACATAATTAAATGAAGTTTTAAGTACTTACAAGCGCAGATGGGATATTTTTAGACCGCTGTAACGGAAAGATCGAAGTTAACCATTTTTTATAAATTTCTCTTATAATATCAATTACATCCATTAACAGTGGTGTTCAAAATCATATAAAATTTAGGTGCTGTATAATGGCCATCGGCGCCTTGTGAAGTTTACTGATTTTCAGATGGCCCAATCCACCCCTGGGGGGCTATCAGACCCGACCCCAAGCGTAGAAGGTTAAGATTTTGTGACCAATTTCTAACAGCATGTAGTAAATTACAAGAATTTGATGACCACTTCCGCAATGATTTACGAAAGCTCGTACGTTTTTATTTATCTGCACTATTTTGCTGCACACTACTTTTATTTATGCACGACTATAACAGATTTTTGTAAACTACTTTAAGTAGATTGTTAAATAACTAC